AACCGCTCATTATTCAAAACCGAACCGAACCGTTGCAAATCGGTTCGGTTTGGTTTGTTCGGTTCTAAGTCATCAGAAGGCAAGCCATGCATCTCAGCTAGCTCAGAAATCTTTTCAACAAAAAAGGCTCAAGCTGTCAAAAGCCAATGATAGCACTGATATATACTTTCATAGAAGGTGCACAGCTGATGCAAAAACTAAAGGACGTTCTCCTTGTGACTAAAATTTAAAGATAAATAATCAACATGAGAATTATTTAGGACAAAACCCTGATTTAAAATAGTACACCAAGACTAGTTCTTTTTGATCAGTCAATCTACACCAACATAGGGAGGTGAGGTCCTACTATAACAAATTAAAGTACAATGTATCCTTCCACGGAGTTGATATTACCAAGTAATTAATTCCCTCATGCAGTAATTTTATCCATTTTCTTGAATAGGCATTAACAACAAGAAGATGTGTCACTTGCTTTAAATCATCAACAACTGAAAAATGGATCAGACAAAGGATTAACGGCACAAGTAACACATATAGCTTATAGTTCAATAATGAAGCTGCACGAGGACTTAACAAGCTTACTTTCAGAGGAATGCAAGTACTTTACTTCTTGCAGCGTAGTTTCACCCCTAAAAAATAATGTAAAGAGTGATATAAAGTTTTTCTTTTCCTTCCCTTCATTAAGTATCTGCAAATCGTAATGATACAAAGCGGAGTTCTAAATTCAGCATCATAAGAAGAAGAAGAAGCAGTATAATTGGTTGTGTTTTGTGTGGGCTGGAGGTATCCAGCTAGTGGATAATAAAGACTTACAAATCTGCATTCTTCCATGAAAGCTCTTACAAATCTGTGATTGGAGGTTCAATTGAAAGCTTACCCAAATATGAAAGATAAACAAATAAAAAATTAAGAAAAAATCAAATCATTTAACATACAAAAACATAAATGGTAAATACCTATGTCTAGCTTCTCAAGAGCATCCAAATCTTCTTCAAAGCAAATTTTTCTTGAACCCGGCGTAGCCAACAAGTTTCGAAGCCAATCGGAAGTGCATACTAGGGTTTGTACCATTCTCGGAGTTAATAAGCTCCTAAATGGATCAAGTACTCGGCCACCTATACTAAATGCAGACTCAGAAGCAACTGTAGAGATTGGAACAGCCAATACATCACGAACCATCCGAGAGAGAATTGGAAACCTTGCACTATTAACTTTCCAATAAGCTAAAATATCAAAGTTACTTTGATCGGCTTCAACGTCCTCGCTTAGAAATCTTTCCAACTCTAATTTTGCTTCGGCACTTCCTTTTGCAACTTTCAACCTTTTAAACAGACTTCTTACATCGGTTATTTGATTAACATCATTATCGTTAATATTATTACATGAAGCACTTTGCCCACTTGCATCTATTTCTGTTCCATATTTAATTTTGTACTCATTGAATAATGCAAATGCAGCATTTTTGATGAATTTTAGCTTATCAACACTTTCTTTCTCACCGTATGTAAGCTCAAGAATAAAATTCACAAAATCTTCTTTATTTCGTGTATCAAGAATTGCCGCAATGTAAATTAACATGTCCGTCTTCTCCTAACTTCCCCAATATTTCTCATATTTATCTGTCATTGTATTAGCAATTCTAGCATATGATGCATTATTAGACAATCTCCATTTTTGCAAATCACAAACAACATCACCAATTTCTTGAACAAAAAAAATTACTTATCACATATGAAGAACCTGAAACACGTATTGTTAGCTTATAAAATTTTTCAAGCAAAATGCATAACCTTCTCACATTAACCCAATCATCCTCCAATGGCATTCCATGAGCTCCGTTTCCATTACTTAGTTCAAATCTAAAGAAGGGATCCTCTTCACCATATCTTTCAAAAAAATTTCATATTTTTGAGCAATGTTCAACATCAAAAAAGTGGAATTCCATCTAGTACATACATCCAAATATAAAGATGAACCAAATTCAATTTTTTCTAGTTCAATGCAAGTTTTGAATTTAGCTAATCTAGATGGAGATTGCCTCACATATCTCATCGCCGAACGAACACTGGCAACAGAATCCCCCAAATCTTTGAGCCTATCACTAACAAGAAGATTAACAATATGAGCAATACATCTCATATGAAGATATTTCTCACCCAACATTGTGCCTCCCTAATTGTTGAACCTTTTTTAAGTATGTAATCATGGTATCATTTGAACTAGCATTATCAACCGTGATGGTGAAAACATTCTCAATTTCCCAATCTAGTAAACACTTCTCGACCACCTTCCCAAGATCATCTCATTTATGACTTGAAATAGGACAAAAGTTTATTATTCTTTTGTTCAATTTCAATCATTGTCAATCCAGTGTGTCGTTAAACACATATAATTAATATTTTGAATGGAAGTCCAAGTATCGGTTGTTAGACACACCCTCTGACATGTAGCTTTCAATAAATTTATCAAACTTTTTTCTCTTCAAGGTAAATCTCATAGCAATCTCTTTGGATTTTCCAACGAGATGGAATATGAAATCTAAGGCAAGCGGTGGACATGAAATTTTTAAACCCTAAACCCTCTACTAATTTGAATGGAAGCTTATCTAAAATGATGAAATAACTGAGGGCTTTTCTTATGGCTCCTTCATCTTAACTCCAACTACCAAGGGTTCTCATTTTCGTACTAGCTCCACTTTGTGAATCAAGAATCGGTTGTAAATTTATTAGCTTCTGTAGAGTGCCGACATTATGTGGGTGCTTTTTGCAAGACTCCATGTGATTGTGTAGTGCTGTAGTACAATTTTTTTTACAATGTAAAAAATACACTTTTTCACAATAGTTACACTTTGCTTTTGGATCACCATTTTTATCTTTAAACTTAGTAAAATGATCCCAAACCTCTGATCTTGCTTTTATTGCTTTCCTTTTAGTCAAAGTCTGAGAGCCTTGTGTAGATTGATTATAATCAACTTAACTTGCATTTGCATTAGGATTCTCCTTTTGAGAAGCCTGCAGATTATTTTAACAATTCGACTAAATTAGGATTTTTAACTTTTAGCACACTAATATGTATAACTTTTTAGCACAATTTAGTTTATACCTCCACTATAGGTGCGGCCCATGCGGGTATCCCCGAAACTGGAGATGGATCCCGAGGAGATGAATCTAATGGTTCGGCCTCGGCCATGAAGACAATAATGAGTGATGAGTGGCTGTTGTAAGAACAATATGAAAATCATTTATACAAGATTACTGTCTTCCTAAGAAGAACAAAAACTTAAAACAAGAAATTAAGATTAAAAAAAAGAATTCATCGTCCATGGCAAGTTGTGCTCTTGATTGGATTAGAGAGAGTCTCTCGAGGGAATTGGATAGGAGAGATTAAGTTATTTAATCAAATAAATTTATAACTAGGGGATCTAATAGTAATTACAGTGATTTGAGAGACTCGTTTTGGAGGAAAAAAGCCTCAAAAGAATTGAAGTACTCAATAACAATTTCAACGAAAGTAAAAAAAGAAGTAAAAGATCCTGAAAGCAAAACCCACCCCCTTGAGTGAATCTGTTCCCAATTGAGAATAGGAGCCAAAAGTAAAAACAAGCTCGAAACACTTTGAGCTTCTCCTCCAGCTTGCCATGGACAATGAATTCAAATCAAGATTCAATAGAGAGATAGAGGTCTATGGAAACAGAGTAGCCCCTTCTTCTTGTTCAGTCTCAGACCCAAATTATTCTATATTATTATTAAACCTAATTATGAAAAGATTGAAGAGGAGGTCTGAGGAGAAGAGCCAAAAAGAAGAAGAAATACAGAGAAGGAAGACGGATGGAAGCAATACCTTGATCGCAGCAGATCTTGAATCCTGAGATGAGATGGAGAATCGTTAACTAGAGACGGAGACAGAAGGCAGTGACGAAGATGGAATAACAGGAGACGGAGACGGAGACGGAGACGGAGACGGAGACGGAGGACGGTGACGGAGATGGAGGGCAGTGGAGCGGCGGCTGGATCTGAGGTTAGAGAAGAGTTAGAGAAAGGAGGCTTAGGTTTAGACACTTGGGATTCTATAGTGAGGGAAGAACACGGGTCGGGTAATTAAAATGGGTATGGGTTATGGGCGATCGGTTCGTTTGGTTGGTTCGGTCGGTTTTTTCGGTTTGGACCGAACCGTGCTCATCCCTACCAAAGCCTGTGACTGGGCCGTCTAGGACTCCAAAGCCGAGCATCTCTTGTTGAGATGCCTCTTGGGTGGGAATTTGTAATCCACAAACGGCTTCATGTCATATCGGGGGCCTTCCCTGACGACCCAATCAGCATGGCCTTTAACTCCTTCCACATGTTTGAGTCGAGCTCATCTATACAAGGGGGGAATGGCTACTCAAAACTAACCCCTAGGAGTGGAGCTACCTCAGCTGGCTCTTGTGCGCAAAGAGGCAAGGCTGTCTCCTCCTTGGCTGTAGCTGACACCTCAGCTAGCGCCTTCCCTAGCCCGTGGGCCGACTCAGGTAAGAGAGGCCTCCTCAACCTGAACCTCATCTTCCCTAGGTTCGACGATCTCCTCTCCTCCCGCAGACTGAGCATAGGATGCTTCGTTGAGGATGACGATCTTAGCCGACTCCAAGAGAAGAGCACTTGGAACTTGGGGATGCTGGCTGACTTTTAGGATCGGGGCAGGAGCGCTTGCTTCTGCTCCTCCTATCTGTAACCATCTCCTTTTCTTTGCCGACCTCTCGGCCTGAGCAGTGGCACTCGGCCCTGCCAGCCAGGTTGCTATCTCTGTGGCCTTTGCCTTTACCTCCTTAGCCTTTTAAGGGGCCAACTTGGCCCTCAGACACTTTTGGGCCTGATTCTCTACTCTGATTGCGACTCAGTTGACTCTTTGAGAGGGAGCGCCAAGACAGCAGCTCGGATCTTATCCTCCTCAGTCGGAGTCACATGAGATAGGTAGACCACTTGAGGATAGTCGACTCAAAGAGGTTGTTAATCTCTCGAGACCCCACATAAGCTCGAACCTTGTCGAGCCCCTGCCTCTTCTCATTTGTGAGCAGACCCTGCTTCAACACGTCCCTCTTAACCTCGAGCTAAGTCGGGCAAGATAGGATGGGGTCGACCCCAAATACCCACATAAACCTCTCCTTCCAATCCTTGTTTAAGTCGAGGGTGTTGGAGATGAGCTTGAAGCCGTCCAAGTTATGGAAGTAACAATGCCCTTCCTTCTTAGATGTCCTGACGCTGACAAGATGGCCCAGCATGTGTACACTCGGCTCGATGCCGACACGATGGCATATTACCATATATGCCACCAAAGTGGCGATTGTGTTTGGCTTAATATGTGAAGGGGATACTCCTAGGGCCTCGCATACTTGACGGAAGGGGTGAAGTGGTAATCGGAGCACGTACTCCAAATACTTTAGATAAATCAGGCGACCTATCACGACCGTGATGATATACGGCTTCAAACCTTTTAGGTGCAGATAGAGTGAAAACCTGTGGAAGATCGAAGTGACTATAATAGACCTCGAGATCCGTTGGACAGACCTTCAAGTGAAATAGCTAAAGAGGTTGATCATGGTATTGTTGCGGCCAAAATTGGGAGCGGTGGAAGCCATCACAGTTAGTCAGAAAGTTGATCAGAAGTCACTGGGAGAAGACAGCTGGGGTGAATAGACGGCCAAGATTGGGACACTTGTAAAGAAAAACCCCTTCTCAGAGATGAATTATATAAAATCTCAAACACGAACATGTGTCAAGATCGGGATAGGTGACTCGGTATGGAATAGACGACCAAGAATGACCTCAAAATCTGAACAGATCTCATGAGAAACAAAGTGCCACCCTTCGTTCAATGCGTCATTCAGCTCAGGGATCAAAGCAACAACGGCATATGACATTCAGTAACATCGAAAGATCCCATCAATAGCTATCTATCATTTTCTCCATAAACACCCCTCGAAAATCACCAACTGATGACTGTTTGGACTTCCGCTCTGACTCAGCCAGAGTAAAGAAGGGCCCGAAAAATAACTAGGTATTAATCCCTATTCGAAGGCCGACAATGAAGTACCCATCAATGTACGATACGACGGATTGACAACTCGTGCATCCAACTAAAAAGATGGTGTTTCCCGACCCACAGCAAGGGCGACTAAAATAACATGGATACTTATATAAAGGGTTGAATCAAGTTAATTCTTGGCCCATTCAGTTCAAAGCTTCGGCAATGCATTATCATCTAGAAACAAAGCGTACGGCTCCCCCTAAAAGCATGAAGGTGAGCTGCTAGCAATCTAAAGCATAATCGAGTCGCCCCAATCCTTAAAGTTGTCCGCCATTTTCTCCTACGCCTTCACCTCTCAGCGCCATCTGTCCTCACTTCGCCTCCACCTAACTAGTTCATCCTCCTTAGCCGCTAGCACCTTCTCCAGGTCAACCTTCCGAGACTCTGATTCCTCTTGAAGCTTAAGGAAGAAGGCTCGGACTTGCTCCACCCGGCTGAATAGCTCTTGCTCCACTAAAGCCCTATGAATCAGGTAACTCTTGAGGCTCAGATGGAAATCAAAATCTGGCATCTCTCCTAGAATTTTGTCATCACAGGAGATATAGAACTGCTCCACCACTTTTAATTGAGCGAGTCGAGATACAAGAACCGACCCCCTCCTGCCAAGATAGAGCGTAGGCGTATGCCTGTACTCTAAGGTCGGCTCCTTATCATGTCGAGGACCGACTCTGGAGGATCCTGTCAGCAACATCTTCAGTTCCTCCCACTTCTCCGACTCGATCTCATCAATACGATGTGGTCCATGTGGATACGGCCATCTGAGTTCCTCCAGGGGAGATGCCTTCCTCTGTAACTGGCTCCAGGGGATACGGCCATCTGTAGGGCACATGTCCCTACCACAGCGGCGAGTGAACCCACTTGCGGCTGTGGCTAGACTTGGCCATTGCGACAAAGATATTGATCCCATTAAACGATAGTAGATCACTTGGGTGTGTTTGGTAATCAATGTGTTTTTTATTGTATTTTTGTAAAAAACACCATGCCATGGTGTTTCTTTTTCAAATGTGTTTTGAAAACACCATTTTGATCAAACTAATTTGACCATTTATATAGCGGCAGTGGGCGGACGGCGGCGGCGGTCGGGTGGCGGGTGGCCTTTTTCATCTAAGCCGGGTCCGGACCCCGCCGCCACCCCGGCCGTCAGCTTGGGCCGACCACCATCGGCTGCCCCGGCGCCCTTGGCCGCCGCCACCTCGCGGCCACGCGCCGTCGTCGGCCGGCCGCCGCCATCCCGGGGCCCATTGGGCGCGCCCGGGCCGTCCGCCCCGCCCTGTCGGCCCGCCGACAGCCGGCCGTCGCCACGCCGCGCTCCCCGCCCGACCTCGCCGTTCTTCAGCGGCCGCCAGCCACCCTTCACTCGCCACCACCGCCGCCCGTCGGCCACAAGTCGGCCGGCCAAGGCACCCGCCTGCCGCCACCGGACGCCATTGGCCACCGGCCCACCGCCTTCGCCCGCCGCCGCTCTTGCCACTTCGTCGGCAACCACCGCCCGCCGGGGCCGCCCCCCCGTCGGCCGGGCCGCCGTTTGCCACCCTCCACCGCCCGTCGGCCACCACTACCACCACCGTCGGTCAGCGGGCCACTGAGATGTTTGTGTCCGCCCGCAGTCTGCCCGTTGGTCGGGACCAACGGCCACCCGGTCGCCACCACCACAGCTACTTCGCCGTCGTCACCCACTGGCGCCACCCCAACCACCCGCTAGGTAGCAACAGTCATCGACGCCGTCGCCGCACCCGCCACCCGCCACCCGACCGTCGTTGTCGCCGTCACCGTGCAATTCAGATCAGCTGTTATACCCAGCCATCTCAAATAAG